GGTTGAAAATCTGATCCAGGGCTACCCAACTAGTGAGAACTGGGTTTCGAGATGGGTCTGAAGCCCATGCCRTCAGCCCCGAGCTAGGCAGCTTGTAATTTCCCAGAAAGCAAAGGGATTGCAGTTGTGGGTAGAGACCCTCCCACATCCTCTGCCCCACCAGGTGTCCCCCCACACCTGTTCTCTGCTTCTCATTAGCATCTCAGCTGATCAGCAGTTTCAACTCAGCCTTTTGAAGGAGAGAACTACAAATAGCCTTTGTATTTCTGCAGAGGTCCCTGAAGGTTGCATGGTTGGTGGGCGGAGTGGTTGCTAGGAGATATTTCTCAAGAAAGACTCCTTTGGAAAATGAGCTCAGGCTGGGTCCCCAGTTGGTGGACCTCCCAAAGTATTAAGAGTGGGTCCAGCCGGGTGCGGTGGTGCACGCTTTAATCCCAGTGGCTCTGGAGGCTGAGGCAGGAGATCGCAAGTTCAAAGCCAGCCTCAGCAATTTAGCAAGACTCTAAGCAATTCAGTGAGAGACCCTGGTACAAAAGAGAGAGAGAGAGAGAGAGAGAGAGAGAGAGAGAGAGAGAGAGAGAGAGACTCCAATTCCTTCTCTAACCGGTTCTTCTAGGTGCCAGCTCAGAGCGTATCTTGGATTATAAACAATCTCTGTGCCAGACAGACTCAGAATCCTAGAAGGGGCCGTTTAAGGCGATCCACCTGCATCCCCCAGTCTATAAATGGGGAAAATGCGGCCCAGGGGGTCCTGCCTGACGGTGGCAGCTTAATGATTTCTCTCTCGTCCATGCCCACAGCAGCTTCCCCTCGGTCCTGCAACGTCAATCATCAGGACTCAGAATGTGAAGACCGGGGACAGTTTCCTGTGTTAATCCCATGTTCCAAGTGTTTGGTGGCGGAGGTGGGGGCAAATCATTACTTTGCTTGAGTGGCATTTATTGGGCACCTACTGTGTGCCAAACACTGGGGTTGGAGCTTTAGGATCTTCTTCAGCTAACACTGACCTCTGGATCGTTTTGCGATGAGTTTGTACTGGCCGTTTCTTTCACATTTTCCCATTTATTTTATTTTACTTTATTTTTTTTGGCATACATTTCGAATGTGCTCAACCCTGAGGGGTCGTTCCGAGTCTTTGTGATTTTAAAATTTTCTTCATTTGCTTTTTCTAAACATTCAGCCATGATCATGGAAGACCCTGACAACCCGAAAAAATAATTTTGCTTAAAATAATTCAGGGGACGACTGGTCATGGGAACCCAAGCCTCTTGGGCCAGGGCACTCTTTAGAACAGCCCCTTCCTTGGACAGGCTACAGCAGGAAAAGCAACACAACCATCGTCCACAGAACCAGACACGTTCCCCCTACCAAACTTCCCAGTGGTATAAATATCCCCATTTTACAGAGGAAGAGACTGAGGCTCAGAGAGGTTGAGTCATTTGTCCGCAGCCCCACAGCTGACAAATGGCAGAGTTAGATTTGCCTCCTGCACCTGGAGGGGACCCTCTGCTTGGAGGCATCTAAACCTGGCCTGGGTTTTTTGCATCCCCAGGTGGCAGGGGGGGACACCTGGGTTTTCTGGAATGGGACAAAGCCAAGGAAATTGGCAGTGATACCCGGTCCAGATCCCGTTACGCCAGCGCGATCACATTTCTCCCATTCTGGCGCCATATGAGCAGGGCAGAGGGCCGGGCAGCAGCCCCTCCCCTGGTTATTCAAGTAGAAAATTACAGGTGCCCAAAATAGCCCAGCATTCTTTTATTAATGAACAAGCAGAGAGCTGGGGTGTGTGGGGGGGTGCGTAGATCTCTTTCCACTGGTGACTTTCCCAAGGCCTGCAGGGCTGCACGGGGGATCTCGAAGGACCTGGACATGGGTTCCCAGGGGGCACCGAGGACAGGACCCCAGATGGGAGTCCGTCCCAGCCATCCCTGTCCAGCCACGTGGCCTGGGGCCAAGGACTCGGCTTATCTGGGAATTCCTTTCTCCTTTGGTAAAATGGGATGAGACCTAAACTCACACCCAAGTTGATTTTCTCCCGACTGTAATGGCGATAGCTGCTCCATGCAGACTAGGTAGAAAGTGGAAAAAATTAAAAAAAAAAATACGAAAATGGGCATCCTGTCTCCCTGTGCCCTCGGCCCCTTCCTCAGGTGAGGTAACCTGGATTAGTCTTGGAGTGCATCCTCCTGTCTGCTTCCTGAGCGAGGGTGAAGGGCTGGCCGGTGCTCTAATGTGGAATGCCACTTCCAGACACCCCGCGTTTCTCAAGCTATAAATAGTTCAAGAGCACAGCCTAAGGCCCTGTGGCCACCGGGAGTCGGGTTCCCCCAGCCTCCCCTGCTCCTCCTCATTTTTCCAGCCCCCACTCAGAGACACCTAGAGGAGTRGGAAGGAGGGAAAGCCACTGTGGGTCCCTGACGTGTCTATGGGGGACGGAGCTGGGACTTGGTGTCTCCTTATGGGACCATCTGGGACCTTTCCTCCCAGCAGGCCTGATACCCACGGGTGGGCCTGGGGGAGCCTTGGGGACCCCTGAGTCTTCTTCCTGGAGGGTCAGGGCAGGAAACAGCTGCCCTCTCCCAGGGCCATTTTCTGACTGGCTCAAATGTCAAGAGCTTCCCATGGGTGCCCGGCAGACAGTACCCAGCTGGACATGACGTCATTATTGTTACTAGTGGGGGATGGAGGGCCAGAGGCCACTCCCTCTTGGAAACTGATTTTTTTTGGGGGGTGGGGAGATACTGGGGATTGAACTCAGGGGCACTCGACCACTGAGCCCCATCCCCAGCCCTTTTTTGTATTTTATTTAGAGACAGGGTCTCGCTGAGTTGCTTAGCGCTTTGCTATTGCTGAGGCTGGCTTTGAACTTTAGATCCTCCTGCCTCAGCCTCCTGAGCTGCTGGGATGACAGGCGTGTGCCACCTGCCCAGCCGGAAGTCTTTTGTAGCTACTTAATAATTAAATGAAATAGTTTAAACATTTAACAATCACAATAAACAATTTACAGTTTTACCATCCAAGATCATCCTTGAGGAAGAAAGGGACAGATACTATGCAAGGGTCCGTCCACCGTGGGCTCTGTCTCCAGGAAGTCCTGACTCCACTTATGGAAAAGCATCCAAGTGGGGATTTGGGGAGAAAGAAAATAAGGACCCTCATGTGTGACCTCACCTGGGGCCTCCTAGGGGCCAGGGCTGAGGCTGGGGACTCAGCCAGAGTAGCGTGGGATTTCTGGGGTCTTAGAAGCCAGCCCACTGCTGGGTGAGCTGGTGCAGGCCTGTCATCCCAGTGCCTCGGGAGGCTGAGGCAGGAGGATTGCAAGTTCAAAGCCAGCCTCAGCAACTTAGGGAGGCCCTAAGCAACTCAGTGAGACCCTGTCTCTAAATAAAATACAAAATAGGGCTGGGAATGGGGCTCAGTGGTCAAGTGACCCTGAGTTCAATCTTTAGTACCAAAAGAAGGAGGAGGAGGAGGAGGAGGAGGAGGAGGAGGAGGAGGAGAAGGAGGAGGAGGAGGGGGAGGAAGAATGCCCACTAAGCCCAGAGGCCTAGTGGGCCGGGGTTACGGTTTTGGGTTGAATGCCCCTCCAGCTGGGGCTGTGGCTCAGTGGTAGAGCACTCACCTAGCATGTGTGAGGCCCTGGGGTCAATCCTCAGCACCACATAAAAATAAATAAATAAGGTATTGTGTCCAACTAGAACTAAAAAATACATATTAAAACAAAAACAAAAAACAGAGACAGTAAAGTCCTGGCCCCTGATACATGTGACTGTGACCTTGTTTGGAACGAAGGGTCTTTGCAGATGTGACCAAGCAGAGGTAAAGTCATTAGATGTGCCTAATCTGACTGGTGTCTTGTAAGAGGGGAGGAGACACAGATGGGCAGGGACAGGCCAGCTGAGGGCAGGGAGGAGTCCAGGGTGACCAAGGATGACCATGGATCGCTGCCACCATCAGAAGCTAAGAGAAGGGCCTGGAACAGACTCCCAGAGTCATTGGGGGAGCATAACCCTGCTGATACCTTGATTTCGGCTTTTAGCCTCCAGAACTGTGAGAACATTTGTGATGCGTCAGGAAAGGGTGCCTGGCTGTGCTCAGAGTCACCAGGAGACCTGTGCAAAGGCTGGCTTCTTGGGGTCCAGGGGGAGCAGATCCATGAGCACCTGCTGTATGGTACATCCCAGAGTGCCCCCAGGTATGCCCAGGGGCTCTGGTGGGTCCAGCCAAACCTGAGATGATCCCTCAAAACGGCAGATATGGTGGGGTTTGAACTCACGATCCTCCTGCCTCAGCCTCCAGAGATCATAGGCRTGATCAGCTGGGATCAGAGGCGTGCACCACCTCACCCAGCAGTGGGCAGGCTTTGGAGACCCCAGAAATCCCACGCTACACACCTGTAAGTGCAGCAGCTCGGGAGGCTGAGGCAGGAGGGTCTCGAGTTCAAAGCCAGCCTCAGCAACTCAGCGAGGCCCTAAGCAACTCAGCGAGGCCCTATGTCTAAAAAAATATAAAAAAGGGCTGGGGGTGTGCTCTGTGGTTCAGTGCCTCTGGGTTCAATCCCTGGTACCAAAACCAAAACCCCAAACAAACCTGGCACACGTGGTGGCCTCCTTTCTGGCTGACTTACTGCCCTTCTGGGGCCRGCCCTCCCCAGGGGACATCTCGGTCTCTATCCCCATCGACTTTAGGAGCAAGGTGTCATCCAGACCAAGCCAGGTGCTGCGGCTCCTCTGGATGGTCTGGGTGGCCTTGAATTTCAGAGAGCAAAAGAACGTCCCTGTCCCGGGCCTCGCCCTGTCCCTGCACCCGGCCTCTGAGATCTGATCTCTCCTTTGAACAAAGCTCCCGGTTCAGGGTGTGTAGGACACAATGTTCTGAAAGCTGATCCYGGGGGCCAGGGGCGGGAGCTGGCTTTTGGGTTCCTGCCGGCAGGAAAGCCGGCTTTGATTTAGCTCCTCCGGCCCCACCTCCTCGTCCTTTCAAGAGAGAAATTAAATTCCTCTGAACTTGCAGGCTGCTCCTCAGCAGGGCTCCCAGAGGGGCCTATTAACTGTACCCAGCSAGTGAAGGTTTACTCTGGCTTGAGATGAACAGCCTCAGTCCCCAGGCTTGGAAAACAGGTTGGTGGGCACGTGTATCCAGGATTAAGTCCCCCGTTCTGGCCTTGCTGTGTGATTTTGAGGAGAGAGCTCAACCTCTCTGAGTCTCTTGGTGGAGAGGATTGTGCAGTGACCCAAGCATTAGAAGGTGTTCTTATTTTTATCTTCAGGAAGAGCCCATTTTACAGATGAGAAAGATGGTGTCTGGTGGGAAGGGGTAGGGCCAGGTCGGGCTGCGCTGGGCAGGGTCTCCGGGGGACCTTGGTGCTGGTGGGAGGAACTGGAACGCTGACTGGTGATTCTGTCTAGTTACTTCTTGGCTGTGAAACAGGGGAGACCTTGTGTCCCCAGCCGCTGAGAGAGACTGATGACAGGTCTCCAAGTTCCTGGCGTTGCGTCTGGGCAGGATCGGCCCTTGGGGGAGTGACTCTCTTCTCCCTGCCTCATTGGACCCCTGGACCAGCGGCTGGTGCAGCCTCCACCCCTGCTTCCATGTGGGAAGAAACTTGGCGCCCAGAGAGGGAGATGGTTTTGCCCAAGGTTGCTCAGGGCCTCTGAGGGGCACAGAGAAGATCAGACCAAGAGGAGGCAGAGGAATAAGAAACCAAGAATGAAGACGAGCTCCTCTGTCTACCGTCTGGGAGGTGAGATCTGCCTCCACAGCCGGAGGCTGGCTCAGGGGAGGCCATCTTGGCTCCTTCTGCCTGTTTCTTCTCTAGAGAAGATGTGTGTGGTGCTCCAGCAGGGTAAAGGGGAGGGACGGGGCGGGGAGCTAAGGTGCCAGGGATGCCGTCCGGTCGCCACCCCTCCCTCTCCCCTTTCTTCCTTCCTCCATTTATTTAGCACCTACTAAGTGCTCTGGGGGACACAATGGTAAACCAAAAAACCAACCATAGTCTCCACTTATTGAGCACCTACTATCTGCTCTGGGGATCAATGGTAAACCCMAAACACAACATGATCTCCATTTATTAAGCACCTACTGTGTGCTCTGAAGACACAATGATAAAACAAAAACCAAACATATTCTCCCTTCCCTGATGGATAAAATCAAGGACTGAAGACAGATCACAACAGTGTGCTCCTTACAGTGGAAAGACCAGAAAGCCGGGGGAGTGTGACGGTATTTGTCCTAGGGAAGTCAGATGGGTGGCGTGGTGCCCTGAGGTCCCTGGGGAACTTGACCCCCTTCTGTTCTCATGTCCCTCTCTCAGCTGCCCCCTCAAGCCCACAGGTTTAGTGACACCCGTGGGCCTAATTATGCAAATGCACCTCTGAGACAAGCTCGGCTCCCTCTGGGCTTATCTACTAAGCCCCTCATCTTGGGTGGATGTTTGAGAGTCTGTCGGGGAAGCCTGTCCTTCTTCCTTTCTTCCTCCTCCCTCCCAAAATGGGCATCGGGCCATAAAAATGGACAGAAGTTTTAGTTTGGGAAGAGTGGGTGACAGGGCTGTCTGCAACGACATTGTTGAACCACACAGCAGCACCCCTTCCTCGGGGCTCATGAAGCCGGCACCTGGGCACCAGCTCCGCCAGCTGGATTTCTACCCCCTCCAACCCATCAACTGGTTGCCTTTGTGCAGTGCCCAACTTATACATCTGTTCGAGGCATCCCCGGGCATTCAGCGCCTGAATCCAATTTGAAGAAGGTAGAATAAAAGCCCCATTCCTGTCTCAAGGGACAGGAAACTGTCCTTCTCGGGCCACTCTGTCTGTCCTCAGATGAGCAYTTCATCTGCTGCCTTGCCCCACCCTCTGGGGCAAGACATTGCAACTCTACCTTTTTTAGTTCCCACCCAGGCCATTCTGGGGGCGGGGTGGATGAGGTGTGGGAACACTGAAGGGAGGAAAAACACACAGGGACTGTCAGATGCAGGGGGCTAACAGAGGGAGCAGCGGAGGGATCCTGGGGCTGAGGGCAAAGTCCAGGATCTGGAAGTCCTGCTCCCAGCCCCAGCATGCAGACTAGCACTGCTCCCACAGCCCTGGGATGTGGCCTTGCATGCATGGACGTCCCCTTGGGTGGCACCCAGGCCTGGGCCCGCTCTCTGGGCAAGTGAATTGCACAGTAGCACAGGGTTCTGGGCTCAGCAGGGCTCAGGATTCAGATGCTTGGCTGTTGGCATCTTGAGATTCTTAGAAAATTTTTTTTCTTTCTTCCTTCCTTTTCTTTTTTTTAGTACCAGGGGTACCCAGGGGCGCTTAACCACTGAGCCCCATCCCCAGCCCTTTTTTATGTTTTGTTTAGACAGGACCTCCCTGAGTTGCTTAGGGCCTCACTAAGTTGCTGAGGCTGGYTTTGACTCGTGATCCTCCTGCCTCAGCCTCCTGAGCCACTGGGTGTGTGCCACCGTGCCTGGGCAAGTCTCAAAAAGTTTTGAACAAGGGGTCCTGCATTTCTGCTTCATATTGGGTCCTCATAAGATCAAAGGGACAAGTCAATGTCCTGAACCTCATCTCTGGGTTCCATCTGAAAGGCCCAGAAGGTGCCAACCCTCTCCCAAAAGGGAACTGGAGTCTGTCATTTTTGTCCTGTGCATGCGAGGTAAGTGCTCGACCATCAGTTATAGCCTCAGATTTCCCTCCCCCCCTCCCTCCCTCCCTCCCTCCCTCCCTCCCTCCCTCCCTCCTTTCTTTCTTTCTTTCTTTCTTTCTTTCTTTCTTTCTTTCTTTCTTTCTTTCTTTCTTTCTTTCTTCTTTCTTTCTTTCTGTTTGAAACCAGGGGCACTGAACCACTGCGCCCCATCCCCAGCCCTTTTTTATATTTTATTTAGAGACAGGGTCTCACTGAGTTGCTCAGGGCCTCGCTAAGTTGCTGAGGCTGGCTTTGAACTCATGATCCTCAGCCTCTCGAGCCGCTGGGATCACAGGCGTGCACCACTGTACTACTATGTGCATTTTCTCAGTTACTTTTCACACTAGTAATCATAATATTTTTAATCCCCATTTTACAAATAAACAAACCGAAGCTTGCACATCACCCAGCCAATGAGTCCCGGAGCCTCTGCTTGGCGCAGCACATCCACCTCCCTGTAACGGTGCCCAAAGAACCTCCATTCTAAGGCTGTGGCYTCAGTGTCGTCTTCTGCAGAGGGAGGGGGCTAGGGAGACCTTAGGATGTGGTGTGCCTAGGTCCCCCAAGTGAGTGCTGCCCGGCTGGGCTGATCCCCCATGCACCTCCTGGCCCAGCCACGTCTTGCTGGTGACCTCTGAGCCTTAGTATCCTGACCTGTGAAATAGGGGTGAGGATAATAGTCCCCTGTGAGAGCACTTGTGTGATTTGTATGAGTAGAAGCAGGAGGAATGGCTAGCTCAGTGTCAAGCAGGACTGAGGCCTCCTCTCAAGGGTGGCACAGAAGCCTGTGCTTGGCTGGCTGGTGGCATTGGTGTTCCCTAGCCGATGTCTCTCTCCTCTCCTCTTCACTATCTTATGCCTTGGTGGACCGTGTTGTTGGGAGCTGTGATTTGAACCATGTTCTCTGTCCTATAGCAGGAGCTGCGCCTGCCCTGGGAACTTCCTGTGCAAAGGTGCAGGTCAAGACTGCCCAGTTGCCATGGTGATGCCCTGCTTAAAGGAGGATCTGTGCTAGGCACGGGACTATCAGTCCTGACCTTGAGTCCAGACCCAGCTGCCAGGGATGGAGACATATGAGTGCAAATTGATCATTATAACTGGCCACTACTCTTTGACCCTCAATCCTGTATGCTTTGAAGAAACTTTCACAGAAAACCTTTTTGATGATGAAACCTAATAATAAACGTGCTGAGCTAGCTCTGGGTCATTATTCCTCCAACAGAGGACAGTGTCCCCCCCTGGCCCCAGCTTTTTCTCTATGTGGGTGTCTGTTTGTCTTTTCTCAATCCCCCATTGCCCCTCACAGGTTTCTGAATTAACAGCCGAGCTGGTCGCGGGGACAGTGTCACAGCAGTGGCTAGGAACTCGAGGCACAGACGGGCCAAGGCTGACAAGAACAGGTGGGGTGGGCCCTGGGACTGGGACGCGGGGAGGAGTTGGCCTGGGGTTACAAGTTGGGAGGGTTCAGTCACCCGAGGGGTGAGCAAGGGCCCAGGGTCTGGAAGGATGCTGGGTACCAGGCGGGCAGGGCAGGGGCTCTGTCTCTGTCTGGGTGTGTGCTCTCCTCACTCTCCATGAGCTCCTGACCTGCCATTTCCTCTTGTACTCTCTCTGCCACTGAGGGCCTAGGAGTCCTTTGTGGGGACACAGCTGTGGACTCCCCCAGCAAGAGCAGTGGGGCGTTGGACCCCAGCTCCCCTCAGAGAAGCAGCCGGGGTGGCAGGCAGTGGGGTGATAGGGCTGTCAGAGCCTCCTAATGACACCCTCATGCTGCTGGGTGGGGCTGGGTGGCCCGAGTGCCAGGCGGGCCCATCTGTCATCTGTGGGGAGAGTTGTCTGGGGAGACAGTTGTGTGCCTTTTGGTCTCTGTCAGAGTGAACATTCCCTGTCGGGTCATCCATCAAATTTTAGCCATTTCTCCTGTACTGTTTTTTTTTTTTTTTTTTTTTGTACCAGGGATTGAACCCAGGGGCGCTTAACCACGGAGCCACACCCGCAGCCCTTTTTTTTTTTAATATTTTAATTTAGAGACAGGGTCTCAC